CTGTCCCGCCTCGTGCTCCCCAGCCCGGGCCCTGGGACCCCTCGTCGCGCGTGGCACGCAGGGGCGCTGCGGAGTGAGCAGCCCGCCCGCCTAGGCCCGCGCCTCCCTCTGAGGCCCACCCTCCACCGGGGCGGGGGCCTCCTCTGTCCCCGGTGGTGTTTGGGGTGCCAAGGGGGTTTTCTAGCTGAGTGGGGACCCCCTGTGGTGAGCTGAGGCCAGGCCCCGAGTTTGCCTGGGAATGGGAGGCAGCCGGGCCCTTGGGGGCTGTGGCTCAGGACGCGGCCCTCTGCAGGCCAGGGCCCTCCCGGGCGGCAGCCCCAGGATGTGGGGCACCCCTGCAGTGGGGCCTGCCCCCCATGCCTGCGTGTCCCCAGCCCACTCTGTGTCAGGCTTGCAGCTCAGATCCCCAGCTGGCGGGGCAAGGGGCAGAGTGGCGATGTGACCCTCTCTCCTCTGGGAGCCCCTGACCCCCCAAAGCATGGGACTTGGTAACATGCCCGGCCTTAGGGATCACTGTATTACGTCAAGGATAGTATAATTCACCTCCGACGTTCCCCAGTCGCCTGCCGGAGCCCAGTGTCCCTGGCAGGCCGGGGCCCCGGCTTCGTAGCTGCCCGACGTTTGATGAGGCTGGTCCGTGGGCCCCACTCACGGGGACTAATGCCCCCACACCCTTGTGTCCCCAGCCCTCCACTGCCACACAGCCAGGCTGACCAGTATGACCTCAGCTGGGACCAGCAGCTCAACCTGGCCTACGTGGGCGCCGTCCCTCACGGTGGCATCGAGCAGGTCCGGACCCACTGGCTGCTGGACCTCGTCACTGCCAGGTGAGTGACAGTGGGGTAGGCAGCCGGGAGCGCCTGGGCAGAGCCCGCTTTCCAGAGGTGAAGGCCGAGTCTGTGTTCGCCGTGGACGGTGCGGTGTGGGCTGCAGCCGGGACCCGGGAGGGGAGACCCTGCTGTACACTTCCCAGCAGGGCGGCCCATGGGAGGGGAGGACATCCTCCCTGGCTCACGGGGCCCACGGGGGATTGGCACAGCTGGCTTCCCGCTGGAGGTCACCCTGGGGGCCCAGGGAGGGCTGCTGTTCCGCTGCCTTGGCTTTGTAGTGGAACCCGGCGCCAGCGAGTGCACGCACGCGCCCGGAGCTGGGTGTGGAATGCGGGTCGGCTGAGCCGGGATGCGGTGCCCCAGGGCCGAGCCCAGGTCGTGTTGGTCACACTGCCTTCGGCCCTGCGGGGTGTAGCCGGGGCTTAGGCACAAGGTGTAAGGAGCACTTGGGTGTGTGTGTTGGGGGGTCCTCCAGAGACACAGACCCTCACACCCCTGGCCAGAGCTGGCAGCTCTCCCCCAGTGGGCTGGGGGCTGTGGGGGTCAAGGGACCAGTGTCCTTTTGGCATCTTGCAGGTCACATGATTGTCTTGGGACCCTTGTTCAAGTCAGACAGTAACAGAGTGTCACACTGGCCCCCAAGGCCAGTGGGACAGCACCAGGGTCCAGCTTGGCACTACAGTGGTGTTTGTTTTAAAGGCTCCCTGTCCCTCCCGGGAGAACGTGGCACGAATGCCCCCAGGAGGAGTCAGTTGGGTGATTGGCGATGGGAGGATGGTGCTGTGAGGGCTCCTGCAGGCACTGCCTCTATTAGAGCGAGGAGTTGGTGGGCGCTTGCTCCCTGTGGCGGGCTCGGGCCGCCTGCACGGCATTGTGCACACTGTGAAACAGCTGTCCCTCCTCACCTGTGTCCTCCTGGTCATCCCCAAGGAAGCCCCCTCTCCTCAGGGCGTCCCTCACCGAGGGGCTGCAGCAGGCCAGGAGCAGGGTGATGCCCAGGGCCCCGTAGTCTCTCCGCAGATCCTGCAGTGTGGCCAGGCCCGCTGCATCCAGGAACAGCAGTGGGGCACAGTCAATGACCACCGCATGGAAGCCAGCCGTTACGGGCACCAGTGCAGCTGTGCTGCTCGCTGGGCCCCGGTCCTTGTCCTCAACGGGGTCTCCCTCGCTGACCCCTGCCTCCAGGCCCTGCTTCTTCCTCTTGGCAGCCGCGTGTCCCACGTCCAGCCCTGTGAGGCTGTAGAGGGACCTCAGGAAGAAGTCTGTGTTGGCGTAGTAGAGGGGTCCCGCAAAGCGGAACACTCGCACCCCCGGCTCGGGGACCAGGCCTTCGAACTCCGCGGCATCCTCGTAGAAGCCGGAGCCCCCAATGCGGGCGAGCAGGGCAGCACGTGGGCGCTGTGTGCGGCCGGCCAGGCTGAGCAGCGAGAAGAGCAGGCCTGCCAACAGCCCGGCCTCGGTGCTGACCAGCACGCAGGTGGCCGCTGTGGCCACCCAGACCAGTGCGTCAGCCCGGCTGAGCCGCCACAGCTTTGGGACGTCCCTCACCTTGCGCAGGGCCCCCCGCAGGCTGACCACGATGACACAGGCCAGGACGCTCCGCTGCAGGTCCCGGAACAGTGGGGCCAGTGCCAGCAGCACGAGCAGCACCACAGCGGCACTGACCACGCTGGACAGCTGTGTGCGGCAGCCAGTGGCCACCTTCACGAGGCTCTTAGCCAGGGCAGCACTGGTGGCAAAGCAGTGGAAAAAGGCAGGCAGCACGTTGCAGCAGCCCACGGCCAGCAGCTCCTGGTTGGCACGCACAGAGTAGCCGTGGCTGCGGGCAAACATCTCCGCCAGCGAGATGGAGAAGGCAGAGCCCACGAGGGCCAGGGGCACGGCGTCCAGCGCCACGCGCCACATCAGCCCGGGGTCCGGCACCTGTGGGGCCACGAAGCCAGTGGGGATGTCGCCGGCCACACTGGAGCCGAAGCGTGCGTGGAACTGCCCAAGGTGGGACATGAGTGTGGCCACCACAATGACCAGCAGCTCTGTGGGCAGTGGCACCTTCAGGCGGTGCCGGTAGCGGTCTGAGAGCTCCTTGGCAGCCAGCAACACGGCCAGGCACACGGCGCTGGTGAGCACATCACACAGGTTGGCCTGCCCGGCGCTGCGCAGCAGGCTCACCCACAGGCGGACCACCATGCCCAGCCCCTGATGCCGCGGGACCTGCACGCCCAGCAGGTGCTTCAGCTGGGATGTCAGGATCGTCACCGAGGCCCCCATAGAGAAGCCGTCCAGCAGTGGCTGCGAGAGGTAGGCGGACACGAAGCCCAGCCGGAGGACGCCCATGAGGACCTGTGGGCAGAGTGTTTGAGGGCAGCGGGCTGTCCGTTGTGGCTGAGGGGGCAGTCACAGCACAGAGCCTGACCAGCTCCTTTTCCTGCCCCATGAGTTGGCACTGCCCCCTCCCAAGAGACCCAGAGCCAATGGGAGGGTGACATGGGGTTGAAGTGGACAGGCCTGGTACAGGAGAGGGCCGGGTATGGGGAGGCCACCTAAAGGCAGGCAGACCCCCAGGGTCCCACCTGGGACAGGAAGCCTGGGGAGGCCATGTGGGCCAGTGGGCATGTCTGAACCTGAGGCTACACTCCAGCCACCTATCCCTACCCAGGCTGCCACTGGCTGGACAGGCTCCTTGGGCCCTGGGCACCCTCAGCCCCTTGGGTGCTCTAGGGCACCATCTTGGGCCTCCCTCTGCCTGTTCCTTGTCCTGTCCTACATCCTTCGAGGCCCCAACCCTGTGCTCCCCCAGGCTTGGCCCTCCTGGGTGGGCACTGAGCACCTGAGGGGGCTGCCCCAGCAGCTCAGCAGGGCCCCCCTGTGGCTGGCTCCTCACCTGGTAAATCCCGGCCATCAGTGTGAGGGCGGTGGCAACGCGGATGGCATAGCAGTCGCGCCCACAGTCCTGCAGCCCAAGCGCCTGCGTGGTGACTGAGGCGTTGAGGGCACTGCTGTTGTCCCTGGGCCCTGGGCCCTCCTGGGTGGTGTCGAAGCCAGCCAGCAGGAGCTCACGGTCTACCACCTGCCCCACCATGAGGCAGAGCAGGCTGAAGATGCCCACGGAGACGTGGCGGGAGGTGCCCATGAGGAAGTAGATGAGGTTTGCAAAGAAGGAGGTATAGAGACTGTAGATGGGCTGCAGCCCAGCCAGCAGCGAGTAGGCGATGGCCTGGGGCACCAGGATGATGCCAATGACCAGCCCGGACATGACGTCGCCCGCCAGGTCCTCCCGTAGGCTGTACCTGCACAGCCAGCGTGTGACAGGGAACAGGTCCTGCACCAGCACCCGGGCCCCCTGCATGCTGCACACACAGTGCTGCTTCAGCCTGGCCTTCAGCGTCTTGCAGACGCCTGGGGGGGCCGGGGGCCGCCGGCGGACCAGCACTGGCCCTCCGCCCTGCTGCTGCTCCGGGGACACTTCCATCTTAGGGTGCCAGGCCCCTCGGGAAGATCTGCCGTGGAGAAGTGGGTGTCAACACTGGGGCAGTGGGATGCTTGTCACAGATACATGTGCGGCCAGACCCAAGCTCCACTGTGCCCCATCCACCTCCCTGTGCAGGCACAGGCCCTGTCCTCACCCCACATCCCCATCCAGAAGACTGAGGTCCCCTCTGCACTGTGGGCTTGGGGGGGGCAGAGGCCAGAGGGAGACCTTGCACATGCCTGAGAAGGTCCTTTGGCACCTCCCAGGTCCTTGTAGCAGAAATCCTGGCACTAGCTTTGGGAGAGTGACCTCTGTAGGGCCAGCAGTCTGTTCCAACCGTAAGGCACCGTTTCCAAGCATGAGGCAACTTTCCTGAGTTTTGCCTCAAAACACGCAGGCCTTGCCCTGGCCAACATGACTCAATGGTTAGAGCACCGGCCTGCACACCAAAGGGCCCGGGTTCAATTCCCAGTCAAGGGCACGTACCTGGTTATGGGTTTAAATCCTGGCACTGGTCAGGGCACATGAGAGAGGCAACCAGTAGATGTGTGTGTCTCCCTCCTTCCCCTCCCTTCCACTCTCTAAAAACAAAAATCAATGCTCCTGGCTGGGTGTGGCTCAGCAGTTGAGCATCGACCTATGATCCAGGAGATCACAGTTCAGTTCTCAGTCAGGGTACACGCCTGGGTTGTGGGTTTGATCCCCAGTGTGGGGTGTGCAGGAGCCAGCTGATCAATGACCCTCTCACCATGGATGTTTTTTTTTAAATATATCCTCAGAGACCCGAGAGAGAGGAAGGGAGAGGGAAGGAGAGAGAGAGAAACATCAATGATGAGTCATTGACCACCGCCTCCCGCATGCCATTGATGTTTCTATATCTCTCCCCCTCTTCCTTCCTCTTTCTCTGAAATCAATAAAGATATATTTAAAAAAAAAAAAATCAATGGAAAAAATATCCTCAGGTGAGGGTTGACAAAACACACACTCAGGTGCACCGTGCAACAAGGGAGCTGGACTGTGCCTGCCACCCAGCCTGATCGGGCCTCTACCTCAGTGCACAGCGTCCCACAGCCTGACCTGCTCAGCTGTGCAGAGCTCAGCTCAGACTTGGGCTCTTGAAAGTCCCCTCATGGTGACGTCAAGCCTGGTCACTCTGCTCCCCATGTTGAGAGCACTGCGGGCTAGTCCAGGGCATGGGGCCTAGATGCCTGGGGCGTGGAGGGTGGGTGGTGGTGCCCGCCTGGCGGGAGGCGTGGACAGGTGGGCATGGCCCCTGTGGACTCTGGCTGTGGCTCTTCCCTTTAGGGGACCAATGAAAGCTATGTTTCAAAGACCTCACCACACAGGGGTCCCCGGGGTCCAGGACTGTTTAAATGCCACCCGCCTAGGGACTGAGGGTTCCTGAAAGAACGGGCCTGTTCGTCTCCCCAAGGAGCCGTCCTCGGCTGTGCGGAATCCTCAGAGCCTTTACTGTCCCGCACAGGCCCCAGCATGATTCTCACCTGAGGGAAACCCTCACGGGCTCCGT